AGGAGGGCAGAGCTGGGGCAGCACCCACGGCCCCGTGGGACAGGGCTCTGCTGCGCTTGAGCCACGCCACTCTGGTGGAGGATTTCTGTTAAAAGAATGTGAAGAACAGTTTTTTTCTTAGAAACTGTCTTTTTTTACAGTCACTCATTTAAATGGATTCCACTGTGCCTGTTTTATGCCTCTCCTTATTCCAGCAGAGACTAAATTAAACTTTGAAGTTTAGTGAGAAATCCTAATGGCATTTGACTTCAATGCTATTGCCTGAATCTTGGGGAATTAAAGAAAGGGGGAGAGCAAGAGGAAAGAAACCACTCTTTTCTTTCATTATTTTCTACAGCTTGATTCCGAAATGACTGACTTTGAAAATAACCTCAGTGCCTAACTTTATGCATTATTCATATATACTAAAACATGTAAATACAGTTTTCAAAGGTTAAAATAAAACTCCTTTCCCGTACAGGTTACAATTATTTAATATTTTGACACAGCAACTTACATCATTAATATTAAACAGCAGATAGGGGAAACGAGTGACCTAAACCAAGCATGTACTTTTCTCATCAGTATGGAACATCCACACATTGCTCAGAAAGCTGGCAGACTACAGGCATGCATAAGATCTTCCAAAAAGGAGTGAGGAATTAAACATTTTGATTTTGCATAAAATGATAGCTGTCAGTTTGCCATTGACTAAGAATGTGGTCTSTGTATTTGCAAGGAATTTCCTGGCACAGTAAGAGTCTTGAGGGATCAAATAGTGATATTATTTCAGTTTTCAGGAATAATAAAGATCATTTAGTCACAAACAGAAGACAAGTTCAGGGTTGTATTTGATTACTACAACAATAAATGACTCACCTAGAGTGTATCTGTACTCACTGTGTGGGCTAAGCTGAGCTTGTGCTCCCACCACAGCAGAGCTTTTGTACAGCTCTGAGCTGCAAGATAACCCAGAGATGCAAATTCTGAGCTCCTTGGGCAATGCCAAAAATATAATTTCACCCACCACTSTCATGACTAAATTCCTTATTGAAGGATGAAGCAGACCTGAGCTTTAAGCAAATGTTCCCTTTTTCTAACGTTCATTTAGAAAGGAAGAGACAACAGCTCCTGCCTGTGACAATTCCTTACCAGCTACAAACAGGATCAATCCTAATTGCCAGGAACAGGGTTAGGGTTGGGTTAGGCTTGGGTTAGGCTTGGGTTAGTGTTAGGGTTAGGGTTAGTGTTAGTGTTAGGGTTAGGCAGAAATCCTGTTAGGCTCTCCAGCCTGGCTCTTTGATAGCACAGGATACTCCCGTGGGCCTCTGGGCTGTTTTCTGTTGCTTTGTTTGTTTTCCAGTTCTGTGTTGATGCCCACAGCTCACACCTAAACACCTCTCCAGGTATTTCCATTGCTGAGAAAGGTCCATCAATTTGAGCAATTTGGTCTCTTCAGTTCTCAGTTCAGGTCACTCAAGGACATTGGGGGAGTGTGGCAGGAACAACTGTTTGAGCACTCTGCATCCCCTTCCTGCTCTGTCAAAAACCGCCAAATCCAAGTGTCCTGAATTAAGAAAATGTACTTGGAAAAAACAGA